TGGTCCATCCAGCTTTGCTTTTGTGCGGACTGGGTTTTGTTTTTCAGCAGGGTTTGGGATACTAACTGGAGCCCCTCTACTTACACGTTTGGGGGTATCGCATGGCTTGCAACTTGCAGACGGGCGAACGAAGCCGAACATCGAGCAGACTTCGGATTCCGCAAGACTCGGAACGCCATTTGGGTCGTTTAGGGGACCCCTATCAGAAACCAACAGGAGGTTGTTTTGTAGCAGCGATGTAAAGTGGTTTAAACGAGAAGTTCAATCGCCCAGCTTTCTTCGTGGCTGGCTTTCACGTGATTGGAAGTCCACCCAGTCAAATTGATTGTAGGTGGTAACTTATAGCCTATGCCAGGAGCAGGTGATCCAGATAGGAGCAAAGATCCTGGAACAAATCCTACACCATAGGTTCCACCCACGCCAAGGAGTCGGTGGTCCACGTACCCAAGGTGATCACGCAAGAGCGCATGCACCACTTCTATGTGGAGGAGAATTCGGCTGGTGCCTCCCTGGTATGTGTCAAATAGGGGGATCCCCAAAGCTTGGTTTCACTTTTCCTTATTTTCGTTTCTTTTTGAACCAACCTGAAAGGGCACCCTCAAAGCAAACTCAAGCACAAACAAACACACACACACAACCACAATCACAAACACACAAACACAAGCACACACAAAGACAAAGGCGAAGATAAATGACAAAGGCAAAGGCAAAGGTAAAGACAATCGGAAACATAAACAGAAGCAAAAGCAGAAGCAGCACAAGCACACGCGCACGCACACGCACAAGGGCAGGCGCAAACACACACTCAAACACAAACACGAACATAAATGCACACAAACACAAACACACACACATAATCACCGCAATCGTGCACGGGCAAACCTGCCAAGCCACTCACCTCAATAACCTGATACAAATACGAGCTGCAAATCCAGCAGCGCAAGTGCCACGGGTAGAGCCCAAACGGTAGTGGATGTGAGCACAGCAGCAATGCCCTCACCACGGTACTGTGCACCAGGGCCAAGGTCGAGGCACATCAAATGATGTTGGCAACATTCCCAGCGTCTTCCTTCTGAACAGGTGCATGACTTTCTGTATACTGTTTTACAGAATGCTATTGTTGAAATCTGATCGAGCTGAAGAGGGTGCGTTCAAGATGAAGGCGCAATGGAACTATTCCTGATCAAGTGCTAAGATGTGCTGGCACGTGCTGGCGCATCCTGGGTTGAGTAGATATTTATATATATGTTTGTGTCTAATATATTTACAAATTCACTTTAGCAGGTGCGGCTTCTGTTTCACCGTGGGAGATTTCGGTTTCTTGAGGAGCCGGTGGACATCCCAGTGAAGCAGCCCGTTGAGACGCAGGTGCGCGTGCCCGTGGCCACCCAGTTGATATTTTGTGCGCGTGGCTTGCCGTTTTTTGGGGGCATCCCCTTTTTCCCGGAAGCATTGCGAAGGGTTCTTCTTCTAAAAGCGGCTGCAAACTTCACCTGCCAATTTCTCATGCCAACTTGTCGAGAGTTACTTCACCTGCCAACTTCTCGTGCCAACTTTTCGAGAGTTATTTCATCTGCCAACTTCTCATGCCAACTTTTCGAGAGTTACTTCACCTGCCAACTTCTCATGCCAACTTTTCGAGAGTTACTTCGCCTGCCAACTTCTCATGCCAGCTTTTCGAGAGTTACTTCACCAGCCAACTTCTCATGTCAACTTTTCGGGTGTTATCTCATTATCCTAAAAACACAAGCTAACTTTTCTTTTCTACCTTCACATCTCGACTTTTCGGGTGTTATCTCATTATCCTAAAAACACAAGCTAACTTTTCTTTTCTACCTTCACATCTCGACTCTTAATTATTCTTCTTTTTCTGGCGGGGTAGGCCCGACGGGAGCTTACGAAACGTACCCTCTGCGGAGATCGTGCGTGTCGAAGCGCTCTCGCTGTGGCGCCGTGCGAATTTGTCTTGACCTCGGCGAACCCTCTGCGGAGATCGTGCGTGTCGAAGCGCTGTCGCTGTGGTCCCGTGCGAATCTGTCTTGAGCCCGATGAACCCTCTGCGGAAATCTTGCGTGTCGAAGCGCTCTCGCTGTGGCACCGTGCGAATTTGTCTTGACCGCGGCGAGCCCTCTGCGGAGATCGTGCGTGTCGAAGCGCTGTCGCTGTGGTCCCGTGCGAATTTGTCTTGACCGCGGCGAACCCTTTGCGGAGATCGTGCGTGTCCAAGCGCTGTCGCTGTGGTCCCGTGCGAATCTGTCTTGAGCCCGATGAACCCTCTGCGGGGATCGCGCGTGTCGGATCGCTCTCGCTGTGGCCCCGTGCGAATCTGTCTTGAGCCCGATGAACCCTCTGCGGAGATCGTGCGTGTCGAAGCGCTCTCGCTGTGGTGCCGTGCGAATTTGTCTTGACCGCGGCGAACCCTCTGCGAGGATCGCGCGTGTCGAAGCGCTGTCGCTGTGGCGCCGTGCGAATTTGTCTTGACCGCGGCGAACCCTCTGCGGAGATCGTGCGTGTCGAAGCGCTCTCGCTGTGGCGCCGTGCGAATTTGTCTTGACCGCGGCGAACCCTCTGCGGAGATCGTGCGTGTCGAAGCGCTGTCGCTGTGGTCCCGTGCGAATTTGTCTTGACCGCGGCGAACCCTCTGCGGAGATCGTGCGTGTCGAAGCGCTGTCGCTGTGGCCCCGTGCGAATCTGCCTTGACCGCGGCGAACCCTCTGCGGAGATCGTGCGTGTCGAAGCGCTGTCGCTGTGGCCCCGTGCGAATCTGTCTTGAGCTGTGGTCCCGTGCGATTTTCTTGCTCGCGAAACGGCCTTTGGAAGTTGTCTCGTGGTTTGCGCGCCTGCTTTCGCAATCCCGCAGGCGCGGGCTCGATTCCCCCCTGGCCCGCGGCAGCTCCGGCTTGAAAATCGCAGCTTTTAAGTACAAACGTAGTACGCGGAGCGTGCTCCTGCAGCTCCGGCTGGAAATCGCAACTTTTAAGTACAGACGTAGTATGCGGAGCGTGCTCCCGCAGCTCCGGCTGGAAAATCGCAACTTTTAAGTACAAACGTAGTACGCGGAGCGTGCTCCTGCAGCTCCGGCTGGAAAATCGCAACTTTTAAGTACAAACGTAGTACGCGGAGCACACTCCCGCAGCTCTGGCTGGAAAATCGCAACTTTTAAGTACACAAAATAGTACGCGAAGTACATTCCCACAGCTCCGGCAGCACTTGCTCGGAGCAACTTGCGCAGAGTCACTTGCGCAGAGCAACTTGCGCAGAGCAACTTGCGCAGAGCACTTGCACAAAGCACTTGCGCAGAGCAACTTGCACAGACCAACTTGCGCAGAGCACATGCGCAAAGCGCTTGCACGGAGCAACTGGCGCAGAGCACTTGCGCAGAGCAACTTGCTCAGAGCACTTGCGCAGAGCAACTTGCATAGAGCGCTTGCGTGCAGCAGCTTGCAGAGAGCAACTTGCGCGCAGCAGCCTGGAACAATGCAGCTTGCGCAGACCACTTTCGTGAGAAATCGCGCGGCGCAGTTCGTGCAAAGCACATTGCGCCGAGCAGACTCGTGCAGCGCCAACTTGCACAGAGCCAGTTGCGCAGAGCCACTCGCGAAAAGTAGCTTGCGTAGACCCAACTTTCACAGAGCCAAGCTGCGCAGAGCCATCTTGCACAGAGCTAAGTTGCGCAAGCGTGCTTTGCAGAAACTGTGGCCTTCGTGTAAGCTTTGCTATTGATTGCTTTTCCTTTTGCTTGTAATTCGTTTCGAGCTTTACGAGCTTTACTCTTCTTGTTTTAACGGATGTAAATATGTGGGATCGAGCACTGCCATGTTTCTTCTCGTAGGACGATGAGATGGAGCTCTCATGTGACCATACACATTGAGCATCGCCGCGCGCGGACACGCTCGCCGCAGCGATGTAAAAAGGTGTCTCCGCGGCTGGATGAGCACCTGGAGAAAAATGCTTTCGGGCCAATCGTCCTCTATTTTTGAATCCCCGCCAACGTCAACCAAGCCAAGCAGGCAAGGGCGTTCCTTGTCCACTGAACTGTGGAGATCTTGGTTGAGGGACCTGGGTTTGCCTCGTAGGGTTGTTTTGCTAAGAATTCCCAGGCCGTAGGCCAAAACCCCAGGGACTGGTTCTGAGGGTCACCCTTTTGGTTCTTTGTCTGGTTGTGAGGGACCCCAAAACCTTTAGGGACGTGTGTTCCGTACAGCCGTCCGCATTCAGTCACTTCATGCTGCACAAACCATTTTGGCCCAAGCGCCTAACAAGAACAGCAGATAGGAGAAAAGAGTGCGGCTGCCACTGTTTCTCGCGACCACAACGTCAACCGCAGCTATTCCCTTACAACGCCTCAAGCATCATACCGTATATTGCAATCCCGGGGAAGTACCCCTGCGCTGCCACGCCAAAACGCGAAGATTTTCCGAGAATGCCATGTGTTCTAGCCGTTGAGGAGCATACAAAAAATCCCTAAGTGTCTCGCTTTCTCACAATGCTATGTATCAAGGCCTGTTGGAAGGGCTAAGATGCTTACCAGCGATGGAAGCCATGAAGAAAGAATGGCAAGGCCTCATCGACCAAGGCGTTTCGACCTCTCCGACTTCGTGAATGTCATGATGTTGCGGAAGGGAGAACAAGTTCATATGGCCAGCGCGCGCGGTATAATTGTGGAAAAGCACTCCCAGTTAACTGAGGACAATCCAAAGAGAAAACGCAAGGGTTGTGGCGTAGTGTTGGGAAACCAGATTAAGAATGAAGCGTCGGACGCGGCATTGTTTCAAGACCTGGGCAACTCACCTGCAACGTTCGAAGCCTCCAGATGGGCTGACTTTCTCGGTGATGGGATGTGCAAATGGCGGATGCTGCTGAGGCTCACATTCAGGCTGTGCTTCTCGGTGCCATCTGTTGGATTGAGCTTCCTCCAGAAGCCGCTCCTGGTGTGACACAAGAACTGTGGAACAAGTTCAATAGACCCGTGGTGCGCTTGGTGAAGGCTTTGTATGGTCATCCTGACGCCGGGACATTTTGGGAGCAGCTCTGCGATGAGTCGCGCGCCGTTGGCTTCAAGCCTGTCGGTGAAGAGTGGCCATCCGTGTACACTCATGAAGAACTCCGTACACTCATGAATAACTCCAACTTGTTCTGGCAGTATATGTTGATGATTTCAAGATGGCAGGTCCAAAAGAGAACCTAGCAAAAGGTTGGGGCCTACTTCGGCAGAATCTCAAAATTGAGCCGGAAACCAGTCTGAGTCTAAATCTAGGCTGCAATCAGTCCAACGGGTCTGTGGTTCTCGGCAATGGGCAAAAGGTTGGAGCAGTTCCTGCGCTACTGTGTTGACCGTTACCTTGAGGTTGCGGGAAGCGTCGAACTAAAGAAGGTCGCTACACCTGGTGTCCATGAAGAAACAAAGGATCACCCGTCGAGGATGACGATTCAGACTGGCCCTTCGGTGGTGCGCAATTGGTGTAGCAACAGAGTACCCACGAATGGCTATGACACTCCATCATGCCCTCGCGCCTCACGCGGCTAGCGTGCTTTTCTCAAAATTTGTACAGCGCAAGGATTGCACGATTTGACACTTGCTCCGGCAGGTCAAACTATTGACGATGACCGCAAGCTCCATCACTTGATGTGCTATATTCATCACACCAAGCGCTGGAGAATGACCGGATGAGTGGGCAACTCTGTCGACAACACATGTGTGGCTTTGTATTCAGATGCTGACTTCGCAGGCTGTGTTGACGCGTTGCGGTCAACCTCTGGTGGTCGCCTGAACCTGCAAGGTCCTGGTCAGCATCACCGGTCCCGTCATTGACCAGTGGACACGCATCAACCATGACTGCAACGCACCTACCAGCGTATTTCCGCTGTTGATCCCGGACACACCACGATGGGGAGACGCCCGATTTGGGGTTCAATGACGCTGTCGTCTGCGCGACGCCCTCTGCTCTTCCATCCTCAATCTGGTGGTGCACGTCCGGTCTGGTGATGAGGATCTCAATGAACTGGGCCGCCTTGCGAAAGTCCTGAACTTCATGATGATGTATCCCACGTGAGACGGCTGTGGATTGTGCTACTGAAAGTAGCACCCGATAGGGAGCAATCACAAGCGGACGAGAGAAGGCACGACACTTTGCCTCATCAGGTGCGCTGAAATCATCCCGTTCGGGATGCATCTAGGTTCTGGGCGCGCGCTCCCGCTTTTCTAAAGTCCACAGATCAGCTCAGCCGAAAGGCACGGGCGGCGGGAGAGGTCAGTGTCATCAAGAAGACCATGATCTTCTACTCGATGAGCCCAGACTTGTGGATGACGGTGCAGAGCGGTATCAGGTTGCCGAAGGAGGTGTGATGAGGGCATGGGGCGAAGAATCGGGTGCTGTTTCAGCAGAGCCATGTCGCGGTCGCGGCGATCATGTCCTCGGACACGTTCGTTGAGAAGTGGGTGGCGAAGTTGCTCGTGGTCACGGAGCCGATAGGTTTGAGTCGGTCGTCACCGACTTTGCAGCTCAGTGGGGACGGATTCCCCTACCCCAACCGATTGGAGATCGTGGGCAGCCACAGGCTGATGGCTAAGATTCGGGGTCACCTAAGTGAGCATGTCGCTATGACGAAGTGCAGCGAAGGCCCTGCTGGATGAGGGGAAGGTGGATCCACGCCAGTGAGCAACATGTGAGAATGGTCATCGATTGGACTCGAGGCAAATGAGGGAGAGCCAGCCCAACGGAGCAAGCTGGAGGCGGATGCTGGTAATTAGCTCGAGTGCTCCCAAGGCCCGCTCCTCAAAGGCCCTCAACTGAGCAGAGCAATGCTCCGGTGGAGAAAACCGAGCCCAAGGAAGTGGAACTGAAGACCGAGATCAATTTTGAGGTAAGCAGGAGCTTGTCGAGGAGCACTCCTTTCCAGGCGATAGCCAGGGCGGAGGAGAGAAGAGGAAGTCTTGGTGGGATCCCGAGCAACCTGTTAAGGAAGGCTCAAGAAAGTGGAAACCCCTCTAAGCGTCCGGATGAGGTTGATAAGAGGCCCGACCGGCTGCGAGCCCGGTCGAAGGCTACTACAGCGCAATTCCCGATAGGCCGCGCTGACTGTGTTGCTGAGGGCATCAAATGATAGGGAGTTATCCCGTTCTGTTCGGCGTCTCATGGAGGATGGCAACAACGCGGCTGCGCTGGATGTGATCAATCGAATCACGGAGAGGTGCCATCGAGGAAGACGTGTGACTCGAGGGATTCTCGGAGGCTGCGGAGGCGCAGCTACCGACTGCGAAGGGACGATCGGAGAAGGGTGATTGGAGGGGGAGGAGAAGGGGAGCTCCGAAAAGGATCGGATCGGGATCGCGCGCGGGGCGGACGTGACCGGAGGAGGCGTGATGACAGCCGTCGACACGAGACAAGTCGCCGTTAGGCGCAATCCTCGTCCTCCGATGGTCGGCGCTGGGCGGTGATGCTCATGCCCCTCCTGCGCCGCTGAGGCGTGTTGATCTATGTCTCTTCTGGACCGCAGCCATTCCACGGAATTCATTTGATCTCGTTATGCACATCTTGCCGATAGGCGAGAGTGCTATCATTCGGTTACTTTGCTAAGTACCAACATGTCTTCTGATTCTGATATGAATGAAAACTCGCATCTCTGATGCAAACAGTTGTGGACTCTTCCCCGGGGTGTGTTGCGCAGCGTTGCCCGATCCTTTTCCCTTTTCGATTGGATTGTGGTTGTTTGGTTACTTGTGTGTGGGAAACCCTGATCTTTTGGTTTTTGGGGTCTTTCTTTTATGGCTTGTTTACCCCAACTCACCTTTCGCCTGGGCACAGGCTCGTGCCCGAATCACAGTTTGTTGTGTTTTGTTTTGTTTTGTTTGTTCGCTCGTTGCTTTCTTCGCCTTTTTTCTTTCTGCATGTTTGTTTGTTCTTTGCCTGGTGGCTCGCTTGCTTGCTTGATTGTTTGGTTGCCTGCTGGCTCGCTTGCTTGCTTGTTCGTTTGTTTACTTTGTTTGTTCGTCCGATGGCTTTTGCTTGCGTATTTGTTTGTTGTTTTGTTTGCCTGCTGGCTCGTTCGCTTGCTTGCTTGTTCGTTCATGTGTTTGTTTGTTTGTTTGTTTGTTTGTTCGTTTGGCTTTGTTGTTTGTTTTTCTGCTGGCTCGCTTGCTTGCACGTTCGTTCGCTTCTTTGCTGGATAGTTTGTTCGTTCGTTTGTTTGTATGTGCGTTTGTTCGTTCGTTCGATTGTATGTTTGTTTTCTTGTTGTTGTTTGTTTATGTTTGGTTTGTTTTTGTGTTTGTTTGTTCGTTTGTTTGTGCGGGTTGTTTGTTCGCCCGTTTTTGTTGTTTGCTTGTTTTTGCGTGTTTGTTTGTTTGCCTGCTGGCTCGGCTCGCTCGTTTTTGTTTGTTTGTTTGTTTGTTTGTTCGTTCGTTCGTTTGTTTGATGTTGGCTCGTTTGTTTGTTTGGTGGTTTGTTTGTTTGTTTGTTTGTTTTTTGTTTGTTTGTTTTTTTGTTTTTTTTGTTTGTTCGCTTGGTTTGCTTGTGCGTGTGTGCTGCAGTTTTTTGTAGCCGTTGTTTTGTTATATGTATGTTTCGTTGGCTTGTTTGTGCTCCAGCCCGTATCTTTTGGGCACATGGCCAGGCTGAGGAGTGAGCGGGATTGACCCGCCGATTGCCGCCTCAGCTTGAAGCAGGAAAAGAGACCCCGCAAAACCACCCCCCCAAATGAATAAGCACCAAGCAGCGTGAAGGGGAATAAACCTCATGAAGCCTTGTCAAGCCGTATTAAGCCTTGTCAAGCCTTGTTAAGCCTTGCTAAGCCTTATTTACTGGTTTTCGAATGTGGCTTAATAAGGCTGAATAAAGCCAAAAAAAGCCTTATTTCGGCAGCCTAAAGGCCATGGTCACACCGCAACTGCTTCGCATGTGTAGCGCAATCCAGAGGCCCGCGCGGTTTCAAAAGAGGCCCCCGCGGTGCGTGGTCAGGCTTTTTTTTTGGCGGGGGGGCTTCAAAATTGCGCTATTCACACAATTCTTGGCCCCCCCCCCCCAAAAAAAAAAAGCATGATTTACAGGAGCCCCAAAAAAGTGCTGAAACAGGGCCCGAAAGGAAACCCTGAAGCCTGCGGCGCGTCCCGGAACACGTGTCATCTCACTCTCTCATGATTCCTGAAACCTCAGTCAGTTGAGAAGGAGTGTCTAGCCCTCATTTTTTTGGAGGGGGTAGCTTTGGGGGGCGTACCTTATCACTACCTGATAAAGTGTTGGCCTCGCTTTCGCTAGTCTTGATACAAAGTTTGCCTTGCCACGCAGAATCTTTTGCTCCGACCGTTGCTAAAACCACTACCCCCTAATTTGAGCGTTGCAGAATCTGCGCCAACACCAAACCGCTTTTTTTGTTTTGAATCTCCACGCATGGCATCCCAAGAGAACCATGTGGACCAGGAGACCATCGACTGGGTCCTTTAGAGTGGCCACATTCTGCAGCGTTTTTGTCATCAGATTAGTTTAGTTGGGTCCCGGCGGACGTCCAGCTCCAGGCGTAGGCGTGGAGTTGCAGAATATCGGATGCATGTGCTGGACAGAATAGAATAGATTGCTCACAGAGAAGAAAAGAGGGATCTTCAAGAAGAAGCTGCCCCCCATCTGCGAACAGGAGAAGTGCCCCGAGTACCCAGAAATTGCGGACCTCCACCATTATGACAAGCGCATGACCAGTCAACAACATGTCACTGACCCCCTTTTTGGAAGAGTCTCTGTTTGTTGTTTGTTCACTGTTCGAGGGATGTCCTTGGGGTTGGATAGCAGCCTCTTTGCATCTGTTGAGGGTATCTCTTTCGCTGATTTGAGAACCGTGTTGGGGTTGTGAAAGGGGAGCTGAAGAGAAAATACAAAAACTTTTGAGTCCCGAAAAGTGGCAATGGCTTCCTTTTGGTCCCCTTCAAATACGAAGCAAAAGGGGGTCGACTGTTTGGAGAAGCACTGAACTGGCGACGAGGGCCACGAAGCCACCAAGAAGATGGACGCGCGCCTGGACCGTCAGGCGAAATGTCCAAGCGTGCGGGGACTTTAGCCCATGTGTTTGTTGGTTTTTAACCAAACACACCACTTGTTTTTGTCCAAGTCAAAAGTGGATATGTGGCCCGTGTTCCTGCTGTTTGTGTGTGTGTGCCCGTGTCAACACCACACACACACTTCAACTCCCAAGGGAGAATGCTAATCGTTCGAGTACAACTGATGAGTCTCGAGTACAACTGATGAGTCTCGAGCGGGTGTAGGTTCGGCTTGCAGTCACTTGGTTTCCGTCTAGCAGCGAACACGTTACCCGAAAGAACAAGAAGCACAAACAGCGCCGCAACCAAGGGGCCAAATAGACATTCAGAATCACTCAAATGTTGCAGGTGCGCGGAGTTGATCAGACTCCGTATCCCGCCAGATCGCACAGCTTTGTTAGGCACGGTCTGCAATCTGGCGCCGTGCCCCCCTGATGAAAAACGGGGTTGTGGTGACAGGGTATTCTGCCACTCCGCACACACGCGCCCCTCCACGAGGGGCGTACACTACCTTTTGCATCCGGAAGACCACGTGCTCAACTAGTGTCTACCAAAATATCCACAGCACGCTCTGTACGGTGCCGCTCAGAAGACGGGGACGTAGGATCTCCGAGTTGGGCAGGAAGTAGGCCGCCTCTGTGTCCTGTATTGATGGCAAGACCGGCGGGAGGAGCAGGGAAGATGGATGTGCAGTGTCCGTCATGGGCGGGGCGTAGGTGAACATATCCATCACATTGCGATCTTGCTGACGAAGACCATGTTGAGAAGAGCCCAGTTCTTCCACCTGGATGGAAAAGTCCGGGTTGTGCACGCCCTCACGCTGTTGATCAGAGGCATTGTGGGTGGAGAAAGACTCATAGCGGGTCAATATCCGTTGGTATCCCTTGATGCTGCCAATCCTGAATGGTCCAGGTTTGGCGGTGATCATGCGCATGGTGACCTTGCCCATCATTGTCCTGAGTTTCTTCACTTGGCAAGGTCACCTGTTTCCAAGAAACAATGATAATACGCCTCCACTAGACTACAATGGGTTCACACCTGGCGGAAACCAACAAGGGCCAGATCATCGTGACCTGAGTTTGATGGGTGGTGGAGGAGGACCTCCGGATGAACCACCCGATGATGAGGATGATGATGAAGATGATGAAGAAGAGGAAGACGAAGAAGAGGAAGATGACAATCGGTCAAGGAGGGGACGCAGGCGATTGAGGGATGATCGGGCGATCAAGAACGAGAGGCCGAGGATATCGCGAAAGGAGGCCGAAAGGGTGTCCATTCCCACATGGCCAAAGATCCACCAACTCGACAACTGGAAAATGCAGCTGCTGATGAACGTTTTGAGCGCATGTGCAGATCCAGATACTGAGACATGGACAAAGTGGTTAGATCAGGCTCTGGGGATACATCCAGACCTCAATTTGCTGAGCGACTCTGGAGGTGACAGATTCGCCACGATTGACATCAAGATGGCCATGGGCATGCAGAACATGCTCAAGGACGTATACCTCGATGCTACACGGCGTTCGGAACTACGACATCAACAAGGTGTGATTGTCAAGGGACGAGAACTAGTGGCATTGGTCATGCAATCATTCAGAACCTCAGATCGGACAGACCTCGTCTATCACATCGAGCACTTATTCAACCTCGACTTCCCTGTGTTCAGGAAAAGTGGTATGATTTGTTGCTGAAGAAGAGGAACGAAGACAGACCCAGTCCACTGGCACTGAGGGACATCCTCTACAGGAAGATTAAGGGGAGCAAGAAGATGGAGTTCGGTCTCAATGCCTACCACAGGCTGCCGGACAAACATCCGCAAAAGTCGTGCGAATTTCTGTTGGCGTTGATTGACCATCAGATCAAGTCAGATCGGGAGGACCTGATGCTCGACATGAAGGAGAAATCAGTCAAGTCGATGATGAAATCAGGCGGCAAGGACGCAGCCCCGGCTGCGGAGAAACAGGGGGGTCAGAATGGCAAAGGGAAAAAGAACAAATCAAATGGGAGGGTCACGCAGGCAAGAACGGCAAGTCCGATGGTGCAAATGACAGGGGGAAGAGTCCGAGTGGAAACAAGGAGTACCCATGCTGGTATCACTTCAAGGCAGAGAAGGGATGCTTGAAGGGAAGTGAATGCCCATTTTCTCACAGCAAGAAAACGGAGCACAAGCTGGAGAACATGCCCAAAGGAAAGGGGAAAGGAAAATCAAAATCCAGGTCATCCTCACCAAAGAAGGAGGATGGAGTGTGTTACGCATTCCAGAAGGGAAAATGCGAGAAAGGCAGTTCCTGCAAATTCAAGCATGAGCTCTTCAAGAAGAACGACTCGGCTCCGGCAACGTCAGGAGACAAGCCACATCCCAAGTCGAAGGCTGCCCCCAAGGCCGCAGCACCGGCAGTTGTGAAGAGGACCATCGCCATGCCTGCGATAGTCCTGAAGCAATCGGTCCCTGCGGGAAAGGTCAGCTTCAAGAAAGACGCTGATCATGTGGAACCGGAGGAAGCCGAAACTGTCTACCACGAACGGGACGACAACGATGCCATGAGTGAGTCGTCGAGATGGTCCTGTGAATCCGAAATCTTCGAGAAGATGGTATGGTTCAAAGAAGTCCTCGACGTCGACGAGAATGGGGAGATCACCTATCTCGAAGATGAGAGTAGGCAATGGGAACGAAAGGAAGAGTGGTATGGCTATGAGGGCAATGAGGATGGTCCTCAAGGGTACGTGCACATCGACGAGAAGAAGTTCAAGGACAGTGATCATCGAGAATTATCAGCCTATCAAGTCCAACGATCATTGATAAGAGCAAGGATACTGGAAGAGGTGGTGGCGGACGTATACCGAAAGCACTACTTCCCGGTGACCAAGGAGAACACCATCGTGTTTGAGTATGATCGAGTTGAGGACGAGATCAAGGAAGCGGTCATAAATTGGAAGAAACAGCATGGTCTGCCGAAGAATGTGTTCGCAATGTCAACATGTATCAGCAGAAGGGTGAAATGGTTGATGGACACCGGATGCGGGCATGACCTCATCGCGCGAGCCAAGGCGAAAAGCCTGGGCGTTGATATTGCACAAGGAGATGATGAGATCGTGTTCCAGACAGCAAACGGGTCCACATCTACATCCGACGTGGCTGAGATAGTCGTGGACGAGTTGGACGAGACCGTCGAGCCACATGTATTGGATGAGACGCCCGCGGTACTTTCGATAGGGAGAAGATGCATGAAGATGGGGTATGCTTTTCACTGGATGCCTGGTAAGCTGCCTTTCATGGTTACTCCGAAGCAAGGATCTCCAGGTCAAAGATGATATACCATACCTGGTGAGCGATGACAAGCTTCGGAGTAACAGACATCGCCCCACAATCGGTGACCTCAAGAAGCACTTCTCAGAGGTCTTGGCATTGGTCACAAACGACGGACCAGACCGGAACGATGATGACGCAAATGACATACCTGCCGCTGCCGGTGAATCCGCAGGAGGCGAAGGGGAACATCATCATGGAGCAGTCGACTTCGGACCACCCGGAGGGGCATCCGCCTCCTGTAGCTGAAGAACCACCAGAGGACGTAGGGCTGGACCCACGTCATGAAGGTGGTGCCGAGGCTAATGAGGAAGAAGCTGATGAGGATGATCCAGACGCTGGTATAGAGGTTGACGTGTACGAAGGATCATCAATCAAGAGGAAAGTTGGAGTCCTCAAGAAGGACGCTGATTCCATCGCTCATTTGCTTACTCACAGATACCGCAACCCTTTCTGTGAGTCATGCGTCAAGGCGAAGATGAGACACTTCAGATCCCGAACAGGAGCCTTCAAAAGAGAGGTTAAGAAATTCGGAGACCTGGTGACGTTCGACTTCGTGACGGCATCAGGAGATCATGAAGTGGAGGGCAGATATGCGCTCATCATTCGGGATATATACACTGGTTTCATTATGGCTTATCCAACCGCGAGAAGAGACACTGACTCTGTTGTCAGAGCGATCAAGCACTTCTGCGGTAGGAGAAAGATCAAGCAGGTGTATTCCAGAGCTGATCAATGCCTGTGTCGAGCTGAAGCTGAATCACGACTTGTCCTTGCCTGGACGACCGCAGAACAATTCCCTTGCCGAAAGGACAAATCAATTCATCATTGATCAGACATCGGCTTGCCTCGTGCATGCCGGTCTTCCAACGTGCTATTGGGTGCAGGCTATCATGAACGTTGAAGAGGTCAATGGATCGAGCGCTTGGTTGAGACTGCATGGCGAAGAGTTCAAGGGCGAAAAGATACCTTTTGGTGCGCTAGTGGACTTCAAGCCAAGCGAAGCACGAGGGGAGAAGAGGGAGAAATTCGAGCCCAGGGGCGAGACTGGAATATTTGCTGGTTTTGTGCTGAGTACCGGGACGCATTGGGCAAACAAGTATAGGGCTTGGACTCTCACTGCGTTCGCGGGTGCGGAGCTGAACATCAGGAAGGCAAAGATTCCACCTCGGCTGAGAATGCCACATCAGACGGAGAGGATGATCCTCAAGTTACTTCTGACATTCCCAATACAGCAGAAGTACAAAGCTGCTAACGAGACCTTGGAAGGGATTGAGCTGTCTGTCGATGCAATTGGTCTAGATGCGCGTGATCGCCTAATCGAAGACGAGGGCTACGAGCCCGAGTTATTGCAGAGTGACGAGAAGCGACTGATAGACGATGAAGTCGATCAGATCGCTGGTCTGCTGCTTGATGAAGGCCCGGAGCTCCCTGTCGGAGATTTGGGGGGTCGCATCGAGGAGAAGGATGCTAGGCCGAGTTCGTCGAAAGGGAAAGACGATGGACACACCAAGGGCGATGAAAGAGTCGTCAAGTCCGACCTTCCGCACGTGTCAGAAGGACTACCTGGGGATGGTATCACGTACATCAATGATGATGGCAAGGAGGTCAAAAGCGACAAAGCCGGAAGGTCATATCCCGTTGGGAAGGACGGCTTCAGGTTGATGAG